ATTTAGTGTTTAAGCCACCAAGTTTTGAAATAATTTGTTACACAGCATGCGATAACTCATCGAACTAGAAGCATGAAAATGAATACAGAGCTAGAAGCATGAAAAGATCTGGCATACAGGCATACCTCAGCTATATTTCAGGTTTGGTTCCAGACCACCACAATACAGTGAGTTGTAATCTTTTTGCTGCTGGAGGGTCTTGCTTTCAATTTGTAAAAAATGCGACATTTGTGAAGCGCGATAAAGCGAAGCTTAATGGTATGCCTGTACTGTGGAAATAGTGACATGGGAGACCAAGACCACAGCCCCCAAGGTCTGTGTGAGCATGTGCGAGGGAGCCATCTGGTGGAGGACAGGCAGCACGTCGGCAGGGCTGGCATACGGCGAACCGGTGGGGTTGGAGTTGGCCACGGGGCCAGCCACGTTGGCGTAGCTGATGTTGAGGCAGCTGCTGCTCTGGGGGTCTTCCTGTACCTTCTGCACGATGGCGCTCACGGCCTTGTGTACCTGCTCGGGTTCGCCGCTGACGGTCACCACTCGCTCCTGCAGGTTGATGCCCTCTGGCTTCTGGGACAGCTGCACCCAGGCACCTGACTGTTCCATCACGGCCTTCACTGTTGCGCCCCCCTTGCCGATGATCAGGCCCGCCGTGCTGTTGGGGACGATCAGCTTGGCCTGCGTGGGGAGTGAGAGCGGGGTCTTTAGCGTCAGCCCCTGTCCCTGCTATCGAGTGTCCCAAATCAGTTCCAGCCCGTCCCTTCGGCATGCACCAGTGGGGTCCTACAGGCTGTTAAAAATACTGAAACACTTCCATAGCGGTTGGTATAAAAAAGAACTAGTACTCCAAGTCCCCTCTGTAGCCTCTCAGCCACCCTGTCCCATGCCCCGGGGTCCTCTGGGACGTCCTTTTCATTCAGCACCTTAAAGGCTGTACCAGCGGGGGGCCCTCCAGGATCCCGCTCCAAGTTTGCTCTGGTGCCGTGTCCTTCCCACATCATTAAGTCCTCTGACTCCCAGCCCCAGGAAAGCCATCACTGGTCTCACTCAGGGACTTGCCCCAAGGCTACCCAGATAGGGAAGGAGCTGAAATCCAGCCTCCTGGACCCCTGCCCCATTATGCTTCTCACCCTAGGACATGGTCACCTCGCTTAACCTTTTTCTTGTTGAGGGCCGAATTGTTGCTCCCTCCCCCCCAATTCTTATGTTGAAGTCCTGACCCCGCCAGAATATGGCTGCATGTGGAGATAGGCTCTGTAGAGAGGCAATTAAGGTTAAGTGAGTTCCCTAGGGGAAACCCCAATGCAATAGGACTGATGTCCTTGTAAGAAGAGGAGGTCGGGACACACACACACGCAGAGGAAAGACCACATGAAGACACAGGAAGACGTCTGTCTACAAGCCAAGAAGACAGGCCTCAGAAGAAACCAACCTGGCCAGACACCTTGATCTTGGACTTCTGGCCTCCGGAATTGTAAGAAAATGGATTTCTGTTGTTTGAACCACCCAGTCTGTGGTACGGCCCTAGCGAACTAATACCGTTGCCTTATCTGTGAAATGAAGATACCAGAACCTTGCAGAAAATCGGTCACTGAAATACGGCGGTCCCCGCTTCTCAGTGGCAGAGCAGCCTATCCTTGGCCGCCACAAAACCGATCAATCTTAATCCCAGTGGGGATGTTTCAGAATTAAATGTCTCTTTTCGCACCTCCGAGAGTATTTCTACACATAAATTCCTTCTTCTGTCTACAGCCATGCCACCCTGAACAAGCCCAATCCCGTCGGCTTGTTAGTAGGGTCGGGCTTGGTTCGTATTTGGATGGGAGACCACTGAGGAAGACCAGGTACTGTAGGCGTAAAAAATAAAAATAAATAAATAAAGGATTGAAAGCTGACAAGGTCCTTGCAATCTGTGAGGTCGACCAAGGGTTGCCTCGCCTAAAAAAAAAAAAAAAAAAAATTCCTTCTTCTCAGTCCTTCCCACAACCCCCCAGACCGGTGGATTCTAGCCCCTGAAGCTCTGACCTCTGCGTGTCCTCTCCACCCCCAAGCCAGACCCTGGGGGTATTCAGGAAATTTGTCACAATGATTGGGGATAGATGTGGGATTCAGCGGGCAGGGCCACGATGTTTGCATCCCATAATGTCAGTCAGTTCCTCACAAAAAAGAATAATCCCAGATTCTCTATGACTTTTGAATGTCCCTCTGGGCATCCATGTTGGGGAAAAGCCTGTTTATAAATCTGTGAGCCCAGAACTGACCCCATGATACATGTAAGTACCAAGTATTTATTTTTTTTGTACATGATACATATAAGTACCAAATATTTTTTTTGCACGGTTTTAAGATCTACTGAAATTTCCAGGAATGCAACTCTCAGTAAATCAAGAGAAGATTGTACTTTGTTTTCTTCTGAACCTTACATGAGAGTCTC